TCTACTGCTTTTTCCCACACTCAAGAAAGCCAACCAGAATGCAATGACTGAGCATAAAATTGAATGTTAAGCTGTTCTAGTTTCTTTCGTAATAAAGTTATTTGGAAACTTTGGTGTTTCATGATAAACAACAAATGGATTGTGACAAACTTCACAGTACATGAGTGTGATAAGACTCCATAGTGGAGAACAGCTGCTCTAACATGGGTACATACACTGTAGCATTAGTGTTGGGACATTATGTTTTTCAGGCCACTGTGGTGCCATTTAGCATTATGGTAAAGTAAAAACCTCAGTGATCTGAAAGAGTTAAGGTCCATAAAGTAAATATCTTAGGATTTGTGGGCCATGTGGTCTCTGTTGCAATTACCCTGCTCTGCCATTGTAGCACGAAAGCAGACACAGACAAAATCTCAATGAGTGAGTGTGGCTGTGTTCCAATAAAAACAAATTTATGGACATTAAAACTTAAATTTTATGTAATTTTTAGATGTCATAATATATTATTCTTTAAAAATTTTTTTCCCACTTTTTAAATATAGTCACGCTCTACATATAACGAACTGTATATATGATGGTGGTCCCATATAAGATTATAATACTGTATTTTTACTGTACCTTTTCTATGTTTATATATACAAAAGCTTACCATACTGTTACAGTTGCCTACGGTACTCAGTACAGTAACATGCTGCACAAGTTTGTAGCCTAGAAGCAATAGGCTTTATCACATCGTCTAGATGTATAGTAGGCTGTACCATCTAAGTTTGTGTAAGTACATTCTATGATGTTCACATGACAAAATCACCTAACGACACATTTCTCAGAATGTATCCCTATCATAAAGCAACCCATAATTGTATATAAAAGCCATTCTTAATTTGCAAGCAATACAAAAACAGGAAGTGAGCCAGATTTGGTCCATGAGCTATGATTTGTTACCCCTACTCTTAAATATGATATCAATAGCCAGATAACAAACCAATGAAATAAATTAATCCGGTTGGTTAGGACATCTCATAGAACTGCACTTAAAATAAATTTTAGCTATAATGTGAGGTGAGGAAGTCTTTGATATTTTCAGAGGATACTACATGTAGAAACAGACTTCAAAATTATACAGATAGAAACTCTCTCTCTCTGTCTGAATTAGTCAGGACCCTGATCTCAAAGATAACATATAGGGAGCATCAACTCTATACAGACATCACAGATTGTGCTGCGTCAAAAAATGTGGAAGTGTTGCAGGAGCAAATTTGTGCAGAAAAAATTTAAAGTTTCTTTTTGTCTTTGTTTTTGTCTTTTTCCTGAACACCTAATTAGAAGGATATGGTATTTGTTTACTTTTGCTACAGTTAGTATGCATTCCACTATTCCTATACAAATCTTTGTGTTAGCAAGAGCATGAATGTTTGAAAGCCTAAGTCTTCTAAATCCACAAAGACTACCATTAATAAGTCTGATTATTAATGGTAGAATTGATTTTAAGGCCATTTTTTCCAGGGGGAAAAAAACAAAGACAAATTAAAAGAAAAAAAAAAAATCAGAAGGAGGGTGGTAGACGGTAGCAATATGGTGTGCGTGCAGACAAATCCCTGTGATTCATGGAAAAGTTAGGGCTCACAGATAAACTCTGTTGTGAGAAAGTGTTTCATTTCTTATTGAATAGTTCCCATCAACCAGCCTCAGATCATTACAAAAATTAGCATAAAATTTTACCTATTTAGGAATCAGTCAGTGTAAAATCTGCAATACTGAGTTTGAACTCCAATCCCGTGGTAGTGGTGGTGGTGATGGTTGTTTTATAAATATCACCAGGCACACATCTGGGGCTTTACTGCTTGCCACAATGTCACTTTCTGGTTGATATATATATAAAAAATGCGTATATTAACACTCAGGCTATAGAGCCAAGCACATTTTAGTGCCGGCTACAGCTGAAAGAATATGTTTCCATTCCTTGTCCATCTGTTCTTGGCAACATAAATTTAAACTAGAAACACAGAATAAGTTTCATGAGAAATAAGTCTAAATAGGATTTAGAACAGCAAGGTGGATGCTTTAAGTTATTATGACTTGTTAACATTTGATTTTGTAGCTGAAAAATTGTTTTTAGTTGGAGTAATCTGGTGCTGCAGCTACAGTTTAAAATTTAAAAATAATAAGTTTTTATCATTCACTTAAAAAAATGGTGGCTTGGTGACACATTCTGTTTTAAGTGCTTATATTAAATTTGCTAGTGATCATGGGCCTACATGAACTTTGAGATTTCAAAGTGCTACTCACTACGCAGTTGAACTACACTGAAAATGAATCATTAACATCTCTGAACTCCATGCTAAAATGAAGTCATTAGTGAGGAGTGAAGGTTTTCTGTACAAAATGGATTACACACAAAACACATTTGCTTGCTCTTCTACAAGCCCAGCTTCAGCTATGACCAGAAATTACATGGTTATCTTCTATCATAATCATGCCTCCCAGTGTCTGCCACCCCCTTTGGTTTTTTCTGCTTCTAAAACAATATGAAATCTATTTACATTTGAAATGACACCATAATACATAGAAATATTAACATAGAAACGAACCATATACTTGTTCCAAGACTCCTGCTTCCAAATCGAGGGTCCTGGCACTCTGAGTTAAATAGGTGAGCAGATGACTCTCACTGGGCAGGAGTCTCTGGCATTCTACTGATGTGAGTTCAACTCCTGCTTTCCAGCTGAGTGCACACCTTCAGATTGGAAAGTCACCTTGAAGCTCACACAGTTTAAGTTCCCTCCCTATGTAAGAAACATTTCCATAATTTTTTTAAAGTCTCTTCTTTTCATATGATTTATTTATCAAATGTAGCTTAGTGGTTACATATCAAAGGGGTTGGGTTCAGATTTTGTCTTTGTCACTTCCTACATATGTAAACATGAATGAAGTAGTTAACTTCTTTAATTTTCAGCTTCTCTATTGGTAAATGCAGATAATCATATTTGTCTTAAATTGGTTTTGACAGGGAGCAAATAAGATAATACTTAGAAAGTAAATAGTTCAGTGACTGGCACTTATTGAACTCTCAACAATTGATACCTATTACTATAAGCCCCTTTCTAACGTTCTCTGTTATGTTATTGCAGCGTTATTTACAATAGCCAAGAGTTGAGTTGGAACCAGGCCAAATGTCCATCATCAGATTAGTGGATAAGGAAACTGTGGTATATCTACACAATGGAATACTACTCTGCTGTAAAAAAGAATAAAATGCTACCATTCGCAATGACATTGATGGACATAGAGAAAATTATATTAAGTGAAACAAGTCAGGCACAGAAAGAGAAATACCACATGTTCTCACTTACATGTGGTAGCTAAAAATAAATAAATAAGTAAAGATACAAACAAATAAAGGGTTTGCGGGGGAAGAAGACACAACAATCACAACAATTCCTTGAACTTGTTAAGACAAGTGAACAGATATGATGTGGTGGGGAGGAGAGAGAGGGAGCAGGGAAGAGGAATGGGAAAAAGGTCACGAAAATCTGCTACAATGTGTATTGAGAAGTTAAAATAAAATAATAATAATAAGAAGAATGATTGCACTGTGCTAATTATCTAATCTACTACCACACAGTATATTGATAGAATATTCCTTAACATCAGAAAAATATTTCAGGAAGCTTCTATTGTTTCTTGAATTTCTACACAAAGTTACCTATGACTATGGACTAGTCACGCAGTGATTTAGGGACTGTCTTCTAATCTATAAAATGAGAAGCTTCTACTGCATGGTCTCTAAGTTCTCTTGTTTGAGTAATTTAACAAAATCATGTTTGACAGTATATCCTCATACTTTATTTATAGTGTTGAAATGTGTTTTTGCTGCCAAATGTCTGATGTGGGATGTATAAGTGTTCCATATATACATGTGGAATAACATTAAGTTTGTTGATGTTAAAAACTACTGGTATATTTTTTGGTATTATTTGGCTCTGCATCTATTCTTCCCATTTCGTTTTAGGATAAGCTGACAACAGTTTTTCACAGAATCTCAAGGTTTAGTTAAACTGAGAGTTACAGAAGTAGGCCATCTTTTTATTACTTTTGATATCTAAGACAAAGAAGCTTTCTTTTTTTTCTCCAATTTTATATATTTATTTTTGTGGTATATAGTGTGTTGTTTCAGTACATGCATGTAGTGCACGGTGATTCACTTAGGGTAGATAGCATAGCTGTGTACCCGTTAGTCCACTCCTCTCCTCCCCCTCAGCCCCCTCCTTTCTTGGACTCTGGTAACTATAATTCTACTCTCTTACTTCTATGAGAACCACTTTTTTTTTTTTTCAGATTCCACATATGGGTGAGATCATGTGGTATTTGTCTTTACCTGACTTACATCACTTAACATGATGGTTTCCTGTTCCATCCATGTTGCTGCAAATGATAGGATATTATTTCTTTTTTTTAGCAGAATAGTATTCCATTGTTCCTGTGTACCACAGTTTTTTTACCCATTTGTCTGTTGATGGTATTTATGTTGATTGCATCTCTTGGCTATTGTGAATAGCATTGTGATGAACATGGGAGTACAGGTGGTGTACTTTTTTTGATATGCTGATTTCATTTGCTTTGGGTATATACCCAGTAGTGAGATAGCTGGGTCATAAGGTAGATCTATTTTAGTTCTCTGAGGAACCTCCATACTGTTTTCCACAGTGGCTACACGAATTTACATTCCCATCAGCAGTGTAGGAGAGTTCCTTTTTCTTCATATCCTCACCAGCATTTTTTATTTTCTGTCTTGTTGATAATAGTCATTCTCTCTGGAGTGAGATGATATTTCATTGTGGTATTAATTTGCATTTCTCTGATGATTAGTGATGTTGGGCATCTTTTCAAGAAGCTTTGTTTGCAAAGTGGCTTTCATTTTTCTATCTTCATAATATCTAATGACACTAAATTGTGGACATAGGCAAACACAGAGTAACTTACAAAGCATCTATTTCTTTCAGATCTGAGTGACCAGCTGCTGGAGGTGGTTGGCTTGGAAGGAGCCATGGAGATGGGGCAAATATACACAGGACTGAAAAGTGCTGGCCGGCGGCTGGCTCAGTGCTCTTCCGTGGTCATCAGGTAGTTCTTTCTCTGTAAATGGGTTTGGCGTGGCCTAGCCACAAACTGATTAAAAGTATGCAGGACTCTGATAGCACCATTTGTCTTATTTGTGCTTCCAAAGATAAGTGATTAATATGGATATATTTCAAAATGATGGAAATTGACAAATTTTACAAAGTATTGGTTAGCTCTTAGTTAGGTTCATTGGAATCTAATTCTCTCTTATTGACTACCATTGATGCACTAATTCTGACATACAAATTTTATCCCCCCTAAACTCATACATACCCATTTTAGCTTACTGAAGCACCAGAATATTTACTGGGAAATTACCCAAAGAAAACACTGTTGAGGCACCATTAATTTTTTCTGGACTGAAGTACAACACTGTTTCTGTAAAATTAAATAGTGAATTATCGTACAGTAAAATTTGATATATGGATGAATTTTATTTTTTTATTGAGACAATTGATTGTACACCTCTGTGTGGTACAGCATTGAATATCAATACCTGTGTGCAAGATGTGATGCTCAAATCGGGATAATTTGTATATTCAACATTACACAATGTAATCATTTTTGTGGGCCTTTACCAATTTCTTGCTAGAGCCTCCCCCCACTTTCCCTTCACTTCTCTGTCTTTTAGCTAAGATCAAGTGTGCATTAACTTTAAACATTTGCAAAATTTTTTCCAAAATTTCACCTTTATTAAAAAAAAAAAAAAAGTCTATTTTGACTTAGGGTGAAACCACAAAATTGTAGCCCAGCCATAACTGATGTTATTGAAATAAAAGTGTTGATACTGCAGAGTCTGAAACATCAAACACCTTTTCTTTACGTTTTCAATGTGGGGCATGAAAACAAAGAGGCTCGTTTGGCTGTAGGAATTCTGTTGTGTCATTAAACACAAACCCTGACATTTTTCTTTTGGCATTGACATTTACTGGCAAGCTCTTAATATTCCTAGACCAAGGTGTTCACTTAGGGCATTCATTTAGAGTGAAGAGTTGCAACCTCTTTCAGAAGACATAACTTTAGAGCCCATCTATTATCCTATTTGCCTTCACTGGTCTTGTTATCTTATCTCTTACATATAGTCTGTTATATAAAGTATTTCAGAGTTATACTTAAAATAAAATATTTTCCCCCAGGACTAGCAAGTCTCTGCCAATGCAGATCGATGGGGAACCGTGGATGCAGACTCCATGCACAGTGAGTAAAGAGAAGCTGAAATGCTACGTCAGTTTCACTTTGCTTTCCAGACACTGTATAGTCCTATAATTAAATAATTACGATATCTAATCATTTTTCTTGACTTCTTTAGGACCTGTCAACAAATACCTTTTTTTCTTAAATTTGTGTATCATAGCCATCGCATAGGCATTATATTCCATTGGCAATGATTTAGCTTTTGAATGTTTGTGTTAGTCTAAGTGTAACTTTTAAATACCATAGACCAATTATAAGCTCTGGAACTAGACAAAATATTGATAAATTTCTCTTAAGCTTTCTTGTGTTTATTTCAGGACACCTTATGAGAAAATTATTGTGTGACCCTCAGACATGAGTCTCCCTGAATTTATTACTCATCTGTTCTTTTGCCTCCATGGGGGGATTTGAGGGCTTCCTTCTACATAGAAAAAAATCCACTTTCTATTGTCTGTCATAATTGTTTTCTCCATAATGGGATGTTATTTAAGTCAGACATTTTGGCCTCCCCAAATTTCGATTTTCATTTGAATAGTGAATATTTTGTCACATTTCAAAAACATGCTAGGCACTGCTGTCAGCACTGGAAATAAAAACATAAACAAGATCAACAATATTATTGTCTCCAAGGAACTTACATTCTGATATACAGGAGACTAAACAAACAAACAAACTGATCTATAATAAATATAACTTCAGATTACAAAAGTTATGAAAAAATAAGGAGAAATGATGAAGAGGAAAGGGGTGGGGTATGGAGGATACTACTTCAGATAAGAGGATCTGGAAGACATCTTTGAAAAGACGCAGCCAAAAGCTCAGTGTCAAAGACACAGTAAAGAGGATGGTGTGATCAAAGCTTTTAGAATTTGGTCTTTCAAATCATTTTACCATCATTTTTTTTTCTTCATCATCTTTTTTACCATCATTTTTTGCTACCATCATTTATATGATCTGTCCCTTGTCCACCTTTTTGACAAAGATGGGGTAAGAGGTAATGTAGAAAAGGTGGACAAGGGAAAGATCACGTAGAAAAAAATGATGGTAAAGAGTTAGCATTTGATTCCAAGTTCAATAGGAAGCTATCGAAGGCTTTAAGCATCATCTGCTTTCCATTTTTATTTTATTTTATTTTAATTTATCAATATACAATGTAGTTGATTTTCATGTCCCTTTACCAATTCCTCCTTCCCCACTCTCCCCCATTTTTAAAGTCCAGATTGGCTGCTTTGTGGAGAATGGATTGTACTGAGTAGCAGCTGGGAGACGGGTCTATCCCAGCGGTCTAGATTTTGGCATGGATGCAATAGAGAGGGAGAATGGAAGTGGATGGATTTGAAATGCAGTCTGGAGGTGGAGCAGGAAGAATTTCCAAATGAGTTTCCTTGGGGTGGGGGATGGGAGATGTGGGAAAGAATCAAATGGAGGTTAACTCTCACCTGTGAATGACGGTGCCATTTCCTGAGTAGTTAGGATGGGGAGATACTGGTTAGGGAGTGACAGGGAGGGTCTTAATCTTACACAAGCATTGTGCTAAGTGCGTGTGATATATGTGAATATTTCTTAAATACTCACACAAACTGCAAGTAATGAATATCACCATCTTTCAAATGGAGAAAACAGGCTGTAGGAGGTTAAATAATTTACTCAGGGTCGGGTGTATAGCAGATATAGCAATCATACCCAGAACTCTGATTAAAACCCCTTCTGTCAAACACTAGTTCAAACAACTTTAGCTGCGGATTCCAAACAACACAGATTAGCATGTAAGAAGGAATTTTTAATTTTCTCTCTCTAATGGTTGTATTCTGGTGCTATTGGCTCGGCCTTTGTGTACAGCACATAAATAAAACTTTTTGCTTGTTTTGAGTATATTCCTTTCAGCCATCTGAACTCAAGTCTGTGAAATCCATTATTTCATAGTAATAATAATAGTAAAACAAACTTGTTTAAAAATCTCTCTAAACTGGCTCCTTCCTATGTCTTCTGCTATTCCTTGGTTCCAAATATCTTTTTTTTTAAAAGGTCCTTTTTCTTCCTTTATGAGCATGTACAGACTTACATGGTGTCTGTTATTCTTCACTCACCAAAGGACACTTCCACGCTCACATTTATATTCACATGAATATTAAAGGTGTTGTTAGTGGTGGGGGTGATGTTGGCGATGTTGGTGGTGATGGTATTGTGGGGGTGGAGATGGTTATCCTAATGGCAGGAAGAGGTAAAAATATGATGATGATGGTGGAAATAGTGATAAAACTGTGGTGATGGTGGTCGTAATGCAGGATGGTAGTGGTGGTGTGATAGTAGAATTCTTGTCTTTAATGAAAGGCCATTTTTTATAAGACTTGGTAACCAGAGAGTAAGTTTTAAAAAAAGGACAATGGAACCAAATATCTTCCCTGAGTACTCTTTGCATCCTTTTGAACTCTTAGGGAGAAGGGGAGTTTAATATCCATGCCCCGTTTTGAGTCAAGAAGCACTAATGGTAATGATAATATCTAACATTTTTTAAGTTCTTAGTATGTGTCATGTACAGTTCTTGACCTGTGTTGACATATTTAATTCTCACAAAACCCTATAATTAGCCTTATTTTGTAGATGAAGAAACAAAGACAGCCAAAGGTTAAGTAGTGTATGTGATCCTACGTAGCCAATGTGGGGCAGAGTAGAAAGGAGACCCAGGTGGCCTGGCTCCTCAGTCCGTGTTCTTCATCTTGACTCCCCACTGTGGACCTCGATCTGAAAAGGCCCCAGAGCATGGAGGAGATCTCCCTCCAGAGTGTGACCTTTGTTAAATCACTGACTGCTTATCTCCTGCTTTAAAACATCTATGCCTATCAAAATTTAATTAGTGTTCTAGAAAAATTTTCACTTGTTTTACCCAAGGACTTTTAATAATACTTCTGTTAACTTTTCTTTCAATGAGTAACACATATTAATTACCACAATCTACAACTGTTACATTAATGATCATTTTTATATAATTTATACTTAATTTTCTCTCCCTGTAAACTCACTTATTCATTTAAAACGTTTATTTCAGCCTACCATGGGCCAAGACCTGTACTACACTATGGCTGATTATTTTTATTTCACATTCTGCATACTCTACTTTCCTAGAACCACATGGGTTCTGAACTCCAAATTTCACTTTACTAAAGAGAGTAGTTAGGATTCATAGCATTTGTAGGGTTTAACTGCAGAGTGTTTTTTTCTTCTTTCAAATAACACACAATGTTTTTCTTACAGAACATCAGACCTTGGTAGAATGTTAAAATTCTTTGCTGAATTTAAATATCTGTAAGCTGATATTCAATTTATGAAGAAATTGCTCTAGATATAATTTTAGAAGAGAGCAGAAGTTCTGTTTTTCTTTAAGTGGAATATAACATAGAAAGGCAGGCAATGCACATGCTTTAATTCTTAAATCAATTAATACTCTTTTAGAAACCAAGATAGTATAAGTTTTGGAGATGGATGGTGGTGATGGTTACATGACAATGCAATGTACTAAATACCACTCAACTGTACACTTAAAAATGTAAGTTAAAGTGGTAAATTTTATGTTACGTATATTTTACCACAATAAAAAAGTGATTGAGGGAAAAAAATCAATGTAATATTAATTTAGAAATTTCACCAGCCATGAGCTTAAATATCAGGAAGAGAAAACCAAAGATCTTAAACTAACATGCCAAATTTGTACTTTGTGATTATTTCTTATGACCTTCTAAATGCTCTCACTAGATATCAATAAAAATTTTTTAAATAATCTTATGTTCGTAGTTTTGTAATAATCTCAACACTGAATGGATTTCAGGAATATAACTATTGTTCATGTTAATAAGCATATCAAACTAAAGAGGACATTAATTCTAGAAGAATGCACATTGAATATAGTCCTAGGAGAGTCGTCTTCTTTAGGCTGAACTCCAGAGCCTACTCTCCTCCTTCTAACTTCTTCCTGCCCAATCCTTCCTGCTGAGCACATAAACGTACTGACTCTACAGTCAATAAGATCCTATAATGGGAAGAAGATAGAGCAGCTTGGGGTAGGGGGTGGAGGGGGTAAAATGGTAGGACAGGGGAAGACATGGTCTAGGTCAGATTTCATTCTGTGTCTGCATGCCCATCACCCCCCATTTGTTACAAGTGACGAGTGCCCAGTAAAGTTTTGTTAAGCGAGAAGTGACTATTCAAAGCCTTAGGAACCACAAATTTAATATAACCAGAACGAACTTCTTATCTGCCTCTGTCTGTTCTCCCCTCCCTAAAAAACTCTTCTTACATCCCACATCTGCTATTCTTCCCTATACCACACTGAATTAGTGGAACCATTATGCCCCTCATGTTTACTAAGCTAGAAATCTGAGTCATCCTATACTTCTCTCTATACCCTCAAATCCAATTACCATGTCCACCTAAAGATATGACCTATTTCTGAAATCTTCTCTTTCCATCCTTTCTATCACTATTTTAGATTTGGCCCATTTCATTTCTCTCTTACTCCTGGCAAAACCCACATCAATATTTCCCCATCTCCATTTTTGTTCCATTTAAATCCATCCCTTACATTTACATCCAATTGGTCACTATAAGATACTAATCTCACCATGACACTCTTCTGCTTAAAAATCTTTTATTACTTTATCTCTGATAAAATGTAATTTGAGTCAGGCTTTCTGTTTCACCAACATCATCTCTTTCTTCTTTTTCATCTTTTCATGTATTTCCTTCTTGTCCAAACAAACTTTCCTCTTTAGTTGAGTAACACAACTCATTTAGACACATTTCTTGCCCCTCTTCCATGCAGCCTTCCCTGAACACGCCTCCTCCCCCTACACCTCCACCCCTTCCTTGGTCCCAACGAGCCTAAAAGCTCAGCCTCTGTGCTTCACAGGTTTACCTGTTTTAGTGAACAAAATTACATTGAAATTATCATCTTATATGTCTAGTTTCTTGTAGACATAAGCTTATTGAAGTCATGTACTGCGATTTTG